GCCAGTGAAGCTCCATTCCTAATTAAAGAAACCAAATAGAAATCATTTGTTACTTCCAGTTTGTTTTCAAGCTATATGTCGTGATTTATTTATTAAATAACCTGTTTGCATATAGAATTTGTTCTTACCAAGTATAAGAGAAAAACTATAGTGGACTTACTTTTCAACATAAGTTGACAGGACAGATTTTGCCATGTTGAGCTTTTCCCTCACATCTGCTAAGGTGGTTTTGTTGCTTTGGCGAGTAGTGGATAACGCAGCTAACGGCTTGAGGACATCTTTCAATAGGTGGATGCAAGCAAATACATCAGTCCTTTTCAAAAGTTTCAGATACCCTCTAGCTTTGTTCTTGCTTTCATTCTGGTAAAAGAAATGCAATACAATAAGATATATAGATTAATCATTACTTAATCTTAGTTTAACATTATACATTATATTTCAATTATTAGAAATATATTCATTTGCAATATTTTGGATATGCACAGTATTATGTCTATAATTATATATATATATTTACTAAAATAAAATTATAAAAACATTTTCTATTCATAACTTACATTTGTCTTCTGAGTAACACAGTCCTCCATTTGGGCTCTGATTGCCTGGAATCCTTTCAGGAAAGAATCCACTGCAAGCAGAAGGTGCGCAACCCATCGTGTGCCACCAACTCGAGTAGGCATAACAACTGGTTTTTGGAGGCTAATGAAAGAATTTCTTAAGTTCTCCCTCTGTTTGGGCGAATTTCTGTAGAAGTAATATACTCCCATCAAAAGAAGAATGGTCAGTTTGAAGATGTGCATTTCCTTGATAGCATCCTTGTATACTAGCTCCAGGCGATGAGCTAAACAGTGGACTACTGTCACACGAGGCTGCAGTTGCTTTAAAAGAGCAGCTACTCCACCTTTTCTGCCTACCATGACTGCAGCCCCATCACACCCAAAACCAATCAGCTTCCTCTTCAATTCGGTCTCAGTCAGGCCAACCTCGGAAAGCCCACTCATAATCGCGTTGAACAGACCAGTGGCATCAGGGCTCTTCGGAGAAACAATACCCGCAAATTCAGTTCGAAGCACTCCACTGTCCACAAACCGTACAAATATTATTTCCTGCTCTGTCTTAGAGCTGTCCGTAGAGCCATCCGATGTAACACTCACGAAACGTGTAGTGTCAACAGCCTTAATTAGATCAGATCTTGAAACTCCAGCAATAAACTTGGTGAATGTCCGGCATGTAGCAGAGTTTCTATAGGTCTTGCCCACATCTAACCCCTTCATTTCATCTAGCTCACATAGCCACTGATAATCCCTAAAGGATCTCCTGTGCTTTGATAGTGCATGAGCGTTCCTGAAAAGTATTTCCAGCTTACTCATTGTCGCCTTGTGCAGCGAACGTATGGCTAGAGCAGCAGGTGCAGACTCAGGTGCAGCTTTCCTTGCAGATAATTTAACTGCAAATTGATGACACGCTGACTTCTCGTGCAAAGCTATGCTTTCAGACTTGTAACTCGTACAACCTTGCAAAAACACCCTTGACTGTAGAACTCCGCGCTGCACTAGAGTCTCTTCATTTGTCTTACACAGACTGCATAGCATTCCCTTTTCACCATCCACAAGCCAAGGGTGGCCAATTGTCCATTTCTTCAAAAAATTTCCTCTCTTTGTACTGTCATAAACTTTAGAATACTGACTTTGTGAGCTACTACTAGTACTACTAGTACTAACATTAGATGCATCAGATTTACAGTTTTTTGCCTTTTCAGGTTTTGAAACTCCACTAATAAACTGCCACATCCTTGTGGCTTGTGCATTTACTACAGTGATGGGTGTTGAATTTTTAACCCCTCCCTGACCAATAAATATCGACCGACACATGCACACCGCGTAGCAGAAGCTTCGATTTCGATTTCGATTTTGATAGTGATGTTCATTGTTGGATGGTACTGCCGTGACGCGCGCGCGCGCACACAGAAAGAGATCGATATACGCGTGCCGCGCAGAAAGAGAGACACGTATACGTACGTACGTATAGCCGCGAAATTAGCGGTATCCCCGATATCCGCGGGATAGTAGATTCTTGTGTAGGATACCAGATTTCAATGCTTGCATGCATGGTATCCCGCCGGAATAGTAAAAAAAAATCGTCAAAATCTGAGGGGACGCAGGCCACTCTAGTGTTATAGCATTTTATACAGCAGGCATAGCAAATTTGCAAGCGCCAGCATAAATGTGGTGTATTACATTGTATCACGCGAATCAGACAATGCGTCTAGATAATACGCCTGTCTGCAGTGTACTGTGGAGGCATATGTAAAATGAACGCGAGCGATGAGAGTTTCGAAGGCAAACAATTGTCATATGATGAAATTTGACTATTTTAGTCTATATTTGATGAAATTTACCATTCATTTCATTAGAATAATGTAGAAGGTTAGTAGAGAATAACAAAATAATCAGTTTGGTAAATTTTTTATTTCCTGTTCGGCGATTATCTAGTCGACCCGCCGGACCAGCTGACACGAGCAAGCAGTCGCCCGGTCGATTTTCTAATCGCCACTGGCGACTGGGCGACCGCTAGTTTCTCACGCTGGCCACCACGCAGAAATTTATCCAAACACAGCGCCTCGCTGACAAAAATCAATGTTCTTCCATCAATAAACTACACTTTATTGACAGCGTTCGAAATTAGTGCCGACCCGAAAGCCCGAGGCCACCAAGTTATTGCTTCGGCCACCATCTCTACGAAACTGCCGGTCCTCCCGATCGGTACTTTTTCCCCTCATATTACGCTGAAATACTACGGTTATCGCAACAGCAGTTTAGACATAATTGTAAACGGGAGCGCATTCTAATACGCTCCGTTCTGAACGTAGACGGGGTATTCAAAACATCTAGAGCCGAGGGCATGAACTCCCTCAACGCATGATTCGCCACACGAACAAAACCTTGTGACAGTCTAAGAAATCGATTGCGGTGGCATGTACTATAGCCCACTGTTTTTATGCCCGCATAACAATAAGTTCATATGTCGCAGGGGTTATCGTGGGGAATGAGGGCACGACCAGTGACACCTGACACGCACGTAATCAAAGCTGTTAACTGAATTCGTCACTTTTCTTTACGTAGAACGTGGACTACTTTTATTCAGTTAGATATCTAGAAGCAATGTAAACTGTATATACTTCAAGATTCTAGGTACTTGTAACTTTTCGGATGTGCGGCAGCATTGCTCTATGCATGGGGGTACCGAGGACTGGGGAGGAGAAAAACAAAAGTAAAATCTTTCCCAGAAGCTAGTTTGTCCATTTTGAAAACTTGAAAAAGTGATTCAAGAGTCTCATATATGTTCAGAATAGTTTAGAATGCACCAAATTGCACCATTTTTGAAAAAGTTTTCCGGGGGAGCATGCAGACATGCCAACCTGTGATTCATGGAAATCGTAAGGCATCACTTACTTTATAAGAATTAATGAATTTATTAATGACGGAATAAAATCTAAAATGACTTATATAAAAAAATTGGAAAAAAATTGAAAAATTTCAATGACAACAAAAAAACTGAGTGATTGGACTGTTTTCAATGAGAAGGCAGAAATAAGTTGTATGTTATGCACGCAATGAATGATGGGACTAACTCTAGATCACGCGAGAACAACGTGAACGCGTGATCCAATATGGCTGCGCCCACAATCGCCAGATATTTCTTGGCTCACAATGTAAACAAGTGCCGCAGAGCGACAGGGCTCATCTGGTGTCTGGTGTTCTGCTGATACTTTCATTTGTGCATAGCAAGACGTCTTATACATAAGTCTTCTTTATTCTTGTGTGACATTCGTAGCCAATTCGAACAAATATATCAGCTACACTTTCGCACCCACCTAATCTCTATGGGCTAATTCTAATAACAAGAACAATAATGAATGAGGAAGGAATGACATTGACGTTGACATAAAAGATTTCAACATATGAGCATGGATCTCCAAGTTTAATTAGAGAGGGCGGGGGGGGGTCCTTCTCTCCCACCTCCCTCCCCACTGCGTCCCACCTCCCTCCCTCCTGCCTCTCACCTCCCTCCCCCTGCCTCCCACTTCGCTCCCCTTGCCTCTCACTTCCACCCCTTACCTCCCATATCCCTCCCCCTGCCTTCGACCTCCCTCCCTCTGCCTCCCACCTCCTTGCACACCATCTCGCACGACCTAATTGTACCCCGTTTCCCGCTCGCATACACACCGTATCACCGTTTTCCTGTCCCCGTCTCAATTTACTACTCTCTCTCTCTTAATTATATAAATAAAATAAAAAAACCGCGATGCCTTTTACTGCCCCCTCAATAATACTTCGTTCCTATGCCCCTGAGTGTAACAGCCATAGAAATAATAATATACAGTGTCTCCAATATTTCTATAGTAACAGATTATGTTCGCATAACTGGTAAATGAATACGCACGGCCATAGCTACATGATATATGTTAAGATTCAAGATGAAAAGTAAATATATAATATATGGTACTAGTTACCCAACTGTTGACGCACACACAGACGGACGGACGGACGGCCGGACGCACGCTCATGCGATTCTACAAGCTGCATCTGACTATGTCAGATGAGCTAAAAGCATCCATTTTCACAAGTCGTAAAAAATCTCTTTTTTTTTAACGTGAAAAAGTTTTTCAGTTTGATCGTACATTCGTAAAACATCTTGGAATTAGTAAGGAATACGAAAATATCGTAAGGGTTGGCAAGTCTGGAGCATGCCCCCGGACCCCCCTAGCGTCGCGATCACCTTCGGTGCTCGCATTACTCGCTTCTCGGATTGCGCAACCACCAAAAACAATTTTGCCGCCTCGCTGACATTTTTGGCCAGGTGAAACACTGTCATGGTATAGAAAAAATTCTATCCCGCAATCTCTATGCTTGCTCCTATTTACATACTAGCATCAGCTACTTCTATTACGGCTTGCAAGCTAAAGGTACCCATTTTATACTACAGATATATTTATATACCTGCTACTTGTTTGATCTCTTCTTCAGTGAGCTCCTCCGCTCCTAGCTCATCATTCTCTGTCTTGTTCATCTTCACTATTCGCTAAAATGACATACAATTTAAAAACAATGCTTAAATTCGCATAACTGTTATTTGTGTAGTCTTCCATTTATTGAAAACTGGAGTTCTTTTTTTTTGCTATACACATGGTCGTTGTAAAGTAATTAGCCACTCTGTGATGGACAACTGTAGGTCTTGTAGATATTTCAAATAGACAAGTGCATTTTGAAATTGGGGAAAAGCTGCTTCATGCGAATGGCTGACTCCGGCCTCGTAACCCTATCATGACTCTCTGACATGGTTCGAATTATGCAAGAACTTTGCATGAATGTGGTAGTGGGAGATGACACCAGGGGGCCGTTGTCAGAAACATCGTAAAGTTAATGCTAATGTTAATGCTAAGATCACACTTACGACTAATGTTAATGTTACGAGAGGAGCGCTGACAGAAACACATCGCAGCTATTAGAAAACTTACGATAACACGAACTTCATCACAAGGCTGCTCATTGGAAGAGAATCAATCACAAAATTCAAATTCATACACATTTATATTGTACATCACAGTAATTTATGCATATTATGATGGCTAACCACATATAAATAATATTTGATGAAAAACGACGTGGTCATGAATATATTCTGCACAACAAGACAAATTCTCACACTGTAACACGAGACGCGAGAGTCGTGGCAAACATTTAAAACAAGAGAACCAATGCCATACGCCATTTGTAAATGTTTTGTTTTGTTTTATGATCGGTAGATAATTAATGATTTTGACGTTTTTCAAGAAAAACACACATTTTATTCAAAATATAATATCACTATAATTGTAATTCGTAGTGTAAATGTGCTATTTTCATCTTAATATTAAAGTTACGAGAGGGTCTGGGCTCTCGTAACGTTAAGACTAAAGAGGATATTTTCGAGGATTTTTCGTTCTCGTAACATTACGATGTTTCTGTCAACGGTTTACGAGTGGAAGTTAATGTTAAGACTAATGTTAAGACTAATTTTGTTTCTGACAACGGGCCCCAGGCCCTCAGACCTGACCTACACGCTAGATGACTCCGAGTTTTCTTGTCTAAGCGTTAGCTAGCCGTAGAGTCATGAGAACACTCACGTGAGCTTCTAGGAACGTCTCGGACAACAATCCTTGCTGCATCTGCTTGAATCCAACTTTCATCATCGGCAGAAACACTCCCGTTATGCTGATGTGGTCACCAGGGGATGCCATGCGTGTACACTCGCCCTTCAGGAAGACGGTCATTGAGCGCGGAATGCTCCCGACCGGAACCTGGTCATTCTAAAATGGAAAAAAAATTGAACTCTGAAACCTGAGATTTCGAACTCAGAATAAAAGTTGGCAGTGACTTTTTATCACACAGATGCTTTAGTCACAGATGTGTAATTTCCACGATTTTCATATTCAAATCTATAAAAAAATCTCAAACAAATTTGTAATGTTCCGAATTCTACTCCATTCAACATATCTCGCCATTGTTACTTAGCAATATAGTTTTCTCTACGTTATTTCCTGTGGCTACTTACGTGCTCCTGGATTTTGAGTTCTTGAAACTTGACGAACTTGCTGCCTCTAGTTTGTAGGTAAAGCCTTCCACCAGATTTGTTGACAGTGCAGTCTTCACTGGGGCACATGATGAGAGGCATGAAAGTGGGTGCAGAAATCTACACGAATACAAATTCCACAGTTGTAGTGAATAAGACGAATCACCAGCACATGCCAGTTCAGCATCACTAAGACAGAGTTCCTACAAAGTGTGAAGGTGTGGTAATGCGGTTGGGCACAAGTGTGGAGGTGGAGTAGTGTATAAGAGCAGATGTGGCGGTTTGTGGTCTACAGGTGTGGATGGAAGTAGTGATCTACAGGTGTGGAGGTAGTAGTCTGTTGTGCAGACATGGTGGTGTAGTGTGATGGACTGATGGTAGTGTGGAGGTGTGGATATGGTGGCTGTGAATGTGTGGTGGTTTGTGGTATGGATGTGGTGGTTTTCATGCCTGCAGGAAATCCTTCCAAAAAGAACAAGAAGCATATCCCAATGCATCATATGACATACGAACTAAACCTGTGTTAGAAGTCACCTCTTTAGAACGTGTATCTGCCTATAATGAACACATTTGGCATTCCCTTGAGTTGCAATTATACAGTGATACTTCTACAGAACTGACACCCATCTATAAAGAACACAATTGACATTGCCTTTCCTCGGCAGTTATACTATACAGTGATACGACCTCTATAGCTCAGACAACTGTCCATACGAACACTTTGGTCATTTCCCTTCAATGGCCCTTACACCAAGGTTAGAAAACGGGCACATTGCGAACGAACGACAGCCGTTTCACGCGTAACCGAGCGAGGCGGCGGCAGGGCTCTACTCACGGGCTGGTACGTCTCGGCGCCGCACTGATCGCACGTGTACGTCGCCACCTGCATCATCGGCTTCACCTCCGTGCAGCGCGTCACGATGCCCTTGACGCAGACGAGCTGGCCGATGTGCTCGGCCTTCACGTCGCGGATGGCCATGTGTTTCTCGCGGCCCTGCGCCTTGAACGACACCTCGCTGCGAACAGGAACGCGACACGAACTTTACAAACCGCGCTCGAGCTACACGAAGCCGAGTCTAAACGTCGTGTGATGTGAATGCGAGTGTGTTGTCATTGTAAACATTGTATGAATGTGAAGGTGAGTGTGAATGTACTGTCATTAAATGTGAGTGAGTGTGAATGCGCTGTTATTGTGAATGTTGTGTGAATGTAAGGGTGAGTGTGGATGTGGTGTCATTGTGAATATTATATGAATGTAAGGATAAGTGTGAATGTGCTTTCATTGTGAATGTTATATGAATGTAAGGGTGAGTGTGGATGTGGTGTCATTGTGAATATTATATGAATGTAAGGATAAGTGTGAATGTGGTGTCATTGTGAATATTATATGAATGTAAGGGTGAGTCTCAGGGTTCTCCCCAGGATGAAATTCAAACAGGGGGGAGTGGGAGGGGGGTGGAAAAACTAGCGGGGTCTGGGGGGTGTTTTTTTACCGTACCACTAATTAATGCGTAAAATCGCCACCACACCATAGACGGTATTTGGGGTTCTTGTATATATAAGATAGCCGAGTCGGTGTACAGTTAGTGTTGTGTGTGGGCCAGGTTAGCTGTTTGTACTTGTGTATTGTCTGCAGTGCATGCGTGGCACGGTAAAAATATACGCGCTGGTTTTCCTGGCCGAATTGGAATTCTTGACGATCGATTCTCGCGCTGGCAAACTTTTATTGTGGTGGAATTTAAACGGGGCGGAGGTAATTCAAACGGGGCGCAACGATTCAAACGGGGGGGGAGTTTTTCCAAACGGGGCGGGCGCGCCCCGTTTGCGCAACGTGGGGAGAACCCTGAGTCTGAATGTAAGTGCGAGTGTGAATATTGTATGAATGTAAGGATAAGTGTGAATGTGGTGTGATTGTGAATATTGTGTGTATGTGAAGGCGGGTGTAAATGTGGCAAACACGTGCAGCGAATGTTCATTTGAATTCAGCCACTTTTGTCACATTAGTACTTCAATTTTTCTTAATTCGATCCAAATAGTTGCTAAAAGTCTGGTAAATAAGTTGAGTAATCCACTCTTGATCCAGAAATAAAGTGGCAATGAATGCATAGACTATTGATGAATTCGACACCCTACGTGGGTCACAACTAACAAACAAAGTAGTTATTCTTAGTTTGTGTCGAAGCAAGGTCGATGCATTCATAATGAAATCTCGGGTTAACCTACAATCTGCGTATGAGCTCGGCCGGGAAGCGGTTCCTGGGATCTCGCACTTCTCCGTCGTGGTTTCGTATTCTTGTCTCCATTAGCAGACGATGCTCGATATATACGTCCAATGCGTCTTTGGCTACAATCTGTAGAGGGCGAGCGAGGAAAGGAATGCGCATGTCAGGTTAGTAAGAGCAATTCAACAACAGCCTTACGACTGAGCATACGAACTTTAGCCAAACGCTTGAGTTGTGAAAATAATAAAAGATCATGCGAATCTTTCTCGACAAATACAATAAGCAACATGAATGTATTGATGATTCAAATCTAATCCTTCACATCCAACTTTTTTTTTATAAAAACGTTTTTCATGTATTTGTTTTACAAAAATAGGAGTATATAGTTTTTTTTATAAAACATGTGTGACAATTTATTTGTCGAGAAAGAATCGGTAATCGGTAAAATATTAACATAATTGACTACCTTCACTATCATAATAATCATCATCAGCAGAAATCACTACTGAGCACTAAGAATTTTAAACCAGCCAAGACATCTGTCGTACCGATCGAGATTAATCTAGTCACATGACCATCTTCATTTATAGAGTAACAAAGAGAAGATAAAAACTTGTCACGTGTCACTGCACAGCAATCTTGACACTCGCACGTACCTCGTGCTCTTTGAACTCTGGCAGCAGCTCGTGGATGGAGTCGCCAAACAGCGACACGTAGCGTCTCGTGTTCTCCACCACGGCGGCGGCAAGATCCGGCTCAACGTCAGCAACATCATCTAGATCTACGGTGATCCCTACCTGCTCTCTGTGAGCGACCTTCACCTAAAACACGAGTAATACCAACACGTGGTAAACAATGCTCCTACGGTACATGTTTTTGTAGGGTGTACTGCTATTGCCAGTGGGTAGACTAGGAATATGTTTTGGTTTTAAAATTTTATACGTGAATGGAAATGATAACTATAGCATCGTGCTTTAACCGTATACCACGAGCGCTGTGCATTCAAGCACTGTCACCGCTTCTGGTATGATTATTTGAAGGTGAATGCAAGATGGGAACCAGTGATGTATTAGTCATTGATTATTTAAAACTTGTTTGCTATCATTTCATTCGTATGCTAAACTTACCAACTGGGATGCATATTTGAAGTCCTTTGAAGTATCTCCTTTATCAGAGCCAGTGTCTGTGTAGAAGTCTCTCAAAAATGATTTGATTTTGTCTGGAAATTGGAGACAGGAGAAACCCTATTAATTATTGAGTGTAAATCCACTTTAAGGAAAAACTGTACACTATATGCAAATAATGTGCCTAGATTTATATTGCATGCACACATACAAATCATGAGAAAGTAAGAAAGCAAACTAACTGAAATTATAGAAATTTCCGGTTACCCGACCAGCCCCAGAAATGCCCGATGACCCGACTGTATTTTAGTGCATTCTCGACAGTAAGTTTCAAGCTGACACTTCATAGAGTAAGTGATTACGTACCAGAGGTAACCTGACCAGTATAGAAAGGGCCACTCACCCAACCGATCCAGACATTTAAATACAACAACAGCATTAGACCTGTATTAGTTTTCTCGTGGTGTAAGATAACAGACTGGTCCTCGGTCCGAGGGACGAGGAGACTTCGAATGGGTGTATATAGACTATGAGGTGAATGGAACTTGTCTGAAGAAATGCTTTTAAGTGTAAATTTGCAGGACAAGTGGGAAACCGTCCGTCAAGGCATTATTGAACTTTTGGGCGAGTTTATGACCCAAACTCAGCATGTCTGACACCCAATAGTGCTACCTACTGTTTTTGACTGTTTTTTAAACCTACTAGAGTCAACTATAAAGGGTTCCGTGACTTGCAGTAAAAATTAACGGGTAACTTTTTTTTGGAAACCCATAAATCAATGCCCACAAAGTCCTCCATTGCTGTTGACTGTTCCCTACTGCCCTCTCGTGGCCATGTGATGCATATGCAATGCCCCCCCCCCACCTCTGCTAGCTGCCATTCGCTGCGCACATCTGTGTGTCGCTGGGCGCGCATTGCTAACATCTGACGGCGGCTGCATAATGTCGTCATAGCCAGCGCGGTATATACAACCAAGATATGATAAAACGCACGTGAACGCACATTCTTCCCGTTGTGTTCGATGCATTCTCTACATGAATAAATATATATCTATATTTAGGGTTAGGGTTAGGGTCAGGGTATTAGGCAGGAATATCTGGACACTCAGTCTTGCACATACAAACAGACATGCATATGCAGACACACACACACAACACACACACACACACACACACACACATACGCAGACATATAACAGGGGTCGAATTAGCCGCTAGCCCGAGACTAGTAATTGGTTGGAAGGGCTAGTTAAAGGCCAGGGTGGCTTGCCCGTCGAGCAAGTAAACAATTCCAGACCAGATTTCGTAATTCCGCCCGTTTTCGAATATATATCAGTGTATAATTAATGGGAATTTAATTGCGGTTTGTGAACTATTGCCGTCGTAAGGAATTGTTTGCGGGCAGACCAAAACATGGCCGTTCCAATCTGGAAATCGCGCAAAGTAGCACGAAATCGTTCATAACTCCAACGGTAAATGTCTCGCGTAACTATCCATTTTCCAAGTCCAGATTTTAGTCAGTGCCGTTCTCATGGCGATGTAGATGAGAACCAATCATACTGCGTGAAACATTATGAATGCCTATGTCAGCCAATCACACGAGGTCTTATTTCAATGCTAGGCTTGTTGTGTACAAAGTACAAAGTAGCGCAATTTACGAAGCACGTGGCAGTATGCAGGGATTGCCGGCTCGATCGCTGCCGCCGGTGAAGCGCTTGTCGGCCCGCCGATCAGCGAGGCTACACGGCGGCTTACTCGACCGCCGGTGGCTGCCGCCCAGTGACAAGTGGTGATTTGACAGGTTATCCATACGCGTGCGCATTGCGTGGTGGTATTGCCGTATGTAAACTTCCTGTGACCTTCACCTCTCAGGCGTGCTCACCATCTGATCATGGCACAAAATAACCCAAACGCGGGAAAAATCTTCAACTTTTTCACTAACTACAAACCGCCACCACCAAAAAAAATCAAAACTGTGACAGCAGAGCAGAAACTTGAACAGCAGAGGGAGTATGAGAAATCAAAACGTGTGGAGAAATAAAACAAGTGCCGCGGAGCGACAGCGCTCATCTAACGTCTACTGCGGTGACTCTGTGGTGGAGTGGTGGGATTCTAGTAAACCCTGTAAGTCCCAAATGTGTTCATATACACGCCGAAACAGTGGAAGCCAAAGGCACAGGGATGGTATCAGGAACCTTTTCAAAGGAATGTTCGTTGGGATCGTTATGAATGTTGCCACGAGATGGCGCGTATGTTTAAGTGTCTTAAGATTAAAGATTTGCGGAATGAAATTGTATGGACAGCTGGGGGGGGGGCAATTAACTTTGGCTGCCGAGGCAGGCCCGCGTGTCGTTAAGGCATGCCCAGTGCGAGGGGGTGGGGGCATGCCCCCAGAAAATTTTGAAATATTTAACAGGGTCGACTTTAACGGTGGCCGTCGGTGCCACATGGCCCACTGAAACGGCGTCGGGCCACCATGAACTGTCGCTGCTTGGTGGCGCCGCCTGGCCACATAAAAATTAAGGGCCGTGCTACGCGACCGGTTCCGGAACGAAGATCCGCCTAGGCTACGCGTCCAGACATCCATGCTCAACACAGAGCACTTGCGACACGTACACGCCATTGATTACGCAAGCGATATTACCCTGTGCTGAATGCAAGTGTCCATGTGTGTACGTGTGCGTGTGTCCATACTGCGTGTGTCGCCGCGTGCGCTGTGTGCGTGTGTACGCGCGCGCGTGTGTGTGTGTGTCGTGGCGTTGTGTGTCATGTGGCGTCGCGCGCGTGGTGTGTACGTGTGGTTTAACTGGAGAGCAGATTCTGAGAATGTCAATCGCAACAAGAAACAATGCTTTACTTTGCCTAATCAAAACAGTAAGTGCACCTGGCAATCCATTCGCTAACCCATCAGCTGTAGGTGTTCGTTGCGGCAATTCATTCTCCCGAGTCAACAAGTGACGTACACACAGAGTGTATGTATAGAGAGGGGTGTGTATGAGATGATTACCGTGTAGCGCCAGGAAGGGGTGTAGGGTGGGGAGAGGTGTAGGGATGATACACTGTAGAGGGACAGAAAGAGGGTGTAGGAAGGGAGCGGGTGAGGATGATACACTGTAGAGACGGGAGGGTGTAGGGGGAGGGGTTAGGAGAATACACTGTCAGAGCAGGGAGGGTGTTGTAGGGAAGGGGTTGTAGGGATGATACACTGTAGAGACAGGAGGGGTAGGGGAGGGTCTGTAGGATATACACTGTAAGACAGGGAGGGTATGTAAGGGATGATTACAACTGTAGAGACAGGCGGGTGCTAACTGGATGGATACACTGTAGGACAGTAATGGTGTAGGGGGAGGGGTGTAGGGATGATACACTGTAGATACACGAGAGGGTTTATGGGGGAGGGGTGTAGGATAGATAACACTGTGTAGAGAACAGAGAGGGTGTAGCGGGGGAGGGTGTAGGGTGATACACTGTAAGAGACAGGGTAGGGTGTAGGGTGGAGAGGTGTAGGATGATACACTGTAGAGACAGAGAGGGTGTTAGAGGTAGGGGTGTGGAATGATACCACTGTAGAGACAGAGAGGGTGTAGGGGGAGGGGTGCTAGGGATCATACACTGTTAGAGACAGATGAGGGTGTAGGGGGAGGGGTGTAGGGAGATACACTGATTAGCGGACATGGGAGGAAGTGTAGGGATGATACACTGCTAGAGACAGAGAGGGTGTAGTCACTGTCGGGGGAGGGGTGTAGGGATATACACTGTAGAACAGAGAGGGTGTAGGGGGGAAGGGTGTAGGGATGATACACTGTAGAGGACAGGGAGGGTGTAGGGGGGAGGGTGTAGGGATGATCACTGTAGAGACAGAGAGGGTAGGGGGAGGGTGTAGGATGATACACTGGAGAGACAACGAGAGGGTGTAGGGGGGTGTAGGGATGTGCAAAATAGACCAGCAGCGAGCCAGACTCTTGATGGATCTGACCCCATGTCAGAAATTGATTCTGATCATCAGAAGGTTCAGATGACAGTCACACTGACATGAATGATTGAAGGACAGTTTTGATTGACATCTTAATGACATGAGTTCTGCTACTTAATAAAGATACTGGCAGAGGATTTGTAAGCTTGTTTAATATTTGGAAACTTATTTAACTCAGTCAGGCGTTTTGTTCTTTCTTTGTTGTTGTCGTATTCTAGTTATGTTATTGCGATTATTTGCCAAAACACATTACCCATAGTTAGAATACAAATAAATTATTTAATAAAATGTAGCAACCGGGCCACCTGAAAATCCATTTGGCACCTGAATCTCATACTCAAGTGGCCCGGCCGGCCACCTGAAAAAAAGTTAAGGGCAAGCCCTGATTTAAGCCATTCTTCCTGCAATCTGCCGGCATACTGTGGGCCATATTCTAATGTCGATGACACTATCTCAACCCTAGACTTAACCCTACAAGTTAGGATTCAAAACAGTTTTCATAACTTTCGAGAGCATACACAGTTAGGTTACTATAGCAGTGCTGAATATAGAAACAAAAATGTGCGTGCCTGCGGACAACCCAGGCATCAAATCGGGTTAGTCCGCAACAATTTCTGGTTGTCCAAAAAAAATATCCCAAATCTCCTATTTCAATTTCATAATAATATGGTCAGAAAACACCAAAAAACAGTGGTGTAGCCAGGATTTTTAACAAGGGGCCAAAAACAACAAACTGCGCAAAATAGTGGATGACTTAATATTTTAATGGCTCCTCCGCCTCCCTCTCCACAGCCTACGGCCTGCCTCTACTTCTCTGCAATCTTTGTTTTGGGTGGCCATGCGAAAAGGCACCAATTTTTGTTCATTGTTCTCTGCTCCCAAGATATGTAATTGTTCAGTGGCGGATCTAGGATTCCAAGGAGGGGGTGAAAAACAAGCGGGGGGTATGGGGTTCTCCCCAAGAAAATTTTGAAAATGTAGATCGGCGGGAGATATATTTGCGGCACTTTTGAGTACATGTACAGCCTTCATTCTGACTACGACAATCTTCTTCTTTTTTTTACTTTTCGGATCAACAATCCCCACTGTTTTTTGCATGGCAAAGCCATCGGAAATCAAAATA